TCCCTACAGAACACATGGTTGATCTCTGTCTGAAGGCGTTCTTGTATCCTAACTACTTGGTTTTAACTCCCACAAAACAATACCACCAGATGTCAGGATGCTCTGGGTTCCTTCATCTCAGTTAGTTCCAGACAGTTCTTCCAATAGGCTGGTCTGCTTCTCTTTTAGAAGATCAGTGCCAGGTCTCTGACTAGAAGCAAAACTCAGATTATCACCACAACCTTTTTTTGTGGTTGGAGGAATAGCTTACCCACATGTACTGGAAATGGTGCATAGCTTTTCAGGAGAAACAAAACCATCCTGGCTTTGGATGTCTCTCAGCTCAGGCCACTACCCGTTATCCACAGCTCTTTTGTCCTCTTGCTCACTTCCCATGCAAGCTTTATGCTAACTCCAAGAAAGGTGTTTTAACACGGCCCCGCGGCGTACAGGTGACTGGTACCGTTCCGCCAGAGAGGAAGGAAGCTGGGCTGTGGTAGCTTAGGAGTGTGCTGCAGTGGGGCTTCATGTAGAGCCTTGGAGTGACGTGGCAGTGGACAAAGGGAAGCAGCCTGCATGAGGCCCAAGAGAAGGGCAGTGGGAGAACACAGACAGGAGCTGTTTGGTGTTCTATGTACAAAGCCATGCAACTCCCTTTCTGTGCTTCTGCAAAGATGCTTTCCTGCTTACAGGTTTAATAGGAGCTCCTAAGAGGGAAACCTGGCTGCAGTTAAGAGCAGAACTTGAAGCGCTGACTGATCTCTGGCTCACACATGCTCTGAAGGCGCTGAATTTGATACACTCCCGGTAAGAACAGCTTAAAGAATTGCCTACGGGCTTGATCCAGGATCTCCTTTGCTTCCCTTTATTCCCCATCTAAACAAATTGAGACACATTTATAGGACTTTGCAGGCCAAACCTGTGGGAGGCCAGTCTGCACACCTTTGCCAAACTTGAATTATCAAAGGTTGGGGTGAGCTTGAGATTAACTGAGCAGAAGAAAAACCAATCCTTTTTCTTGCCTTTCCTTGGCTACCTCATCTGTGGCACACTTTTCATGTGAGCAGATTTACAGAAGAGTAGCAAAGGGAGAAAAGGGCCCTTCTATCCCTGATATGTTCTCTTGAACCCAGCACGGACATTACTACATGGTGTTTAAATTCCCGCAAAATAGATCCTGGCATGCGTGCAGTAGGGCTGCACCACTGCTGCTAGTTTGTTTTATGTTTTTTCATTCTACTAAGTTGATAAAAAGACATTACCAGTACTCCCAGTGTCTGCCTGTAGCTGCATAATCACCCAATGGCTTGAGAACTTCCAGTTGAAAGAAAGGTGTGCTTCCTGCCATCTTTCAGTCTGGAGTAAAAGAAACAAACACGGATTGCCACTTTACTAACTTTTGTTTTCTAGGCCTAACTGTGTGAATGTGTTGGTCACCACAACTCAGCTTATACCAGCTCTTGCTAAAGTGCTTCTCTATGGACTGGGCACTGTCTTCCCCATTGAAAACATTTACAGTGCAACAAAAACAGGTAAGAGCAAACTAACTTAGGCCTCACCAAAGATAGACTGAAGTTTTGTCCCCAAGTCAGGCACATATGTCCAAACTAATCACAACAAGCAATGTATGAGGTTTATTTTTAGCTCCACGTTTACATATCTCTAATTCACATCCTGACTGCCCACACTTCAGCTAGTATAGACTGAAAAAAAAAAAAAAAAATCAGTATTCCCAAGTGTCCCCATGGGGGAGTGAGCCTGAAAAATACCCACCCTGTGGAGCATCTAATGCATGTGGGATGTTCAGCTCACCCACCTAGGAGGAAGACAGTCTGGAAAGAGTACCTACAGAAGCACTGTTTGTACCCTCTTATTCTTGCAGAGGGGTCGAGTGTGCTGAATGAGCTTTATGAAGCTGTGTGATTAGTAAATACTGGTAGGGTTGGCTTGGAGCTTTTTTTGTGTTCTATTTTTTCTGGTATAAGTGTTTGAACATCTGAGGTTTGTATTTTCGTGTTGTACTGCAACCAGAATGAACAGACGAGAGCTCTTGAAACTGAATGCTATGAGTGTCATATCAGTCTACCAACTGCCAGTCTAAGCAGTGCATCAAAGTCACAAAGCTTACGGAAAACTTGGAAGTCCTCGGCTCATAAAGAAAATGCTAGTAACTGTCATGGAGATTCCATCTCAGATGAAGATTCAGTTGGGTTCTCATTTCAAAAGAAAATGAGGAATGTAGCAGCAAGTTCGGTTAGGTCCCAACTCCAGTTCCAGTACCTGAACGTTAGCCCCACCTGCTGTATATGTCCAGATTAAAAAATGTGTCTTCTCTT